TATCTAAAGTTTCCATACGGGAAGGTTAGGTATTAGCAGTGTGGCTTCCGCAGGTGTTATTGCGGCGAATTCTGTGATGAAATCTGCCAAAATTTGTCTTTTGATTGCAGTTTTTGGCTTATACCTAATATCAAATTCGCTGAGCTCTATTGCCCACTTAACTAGCCTCCCTGAAGACTCTGGTTTATGTAGCACTTACTTCATTGGCTGATCTGTTAGAACCTCGATAGTATGAGCCTGAAAATATAGTCTAAGTCTCCTAACTGTAGTCACCAGGGCCAAAACTAGCTTGTTTATCTTTGGATATCTCTTATCTGCCCCCCTCAGAGCTCTACTACAGTAGTAAACTGGTTGCTGAGCTCTGTCTTGCTCCCTAACTAGTGTTGCGCTGGTTGAGAAATCTGAGACAGCTAAATAGAGACTAAGCACTTCTCCTTCTAAGGGGCTTACTAGGACAGGGGGAGAGCTTAGGTACTCCTTCAGTGCTTTGAACACTTCCTTGCACCGGGTGTCCCACTGAAACGCCTTCTTTAATACCATAAAGAAAGGTTGACACTTGTCACTTGATTTGGATACAAAACGACTTAAGACGGCTATCCTTCCTGTCAGGCACTGGATCTCCCTGATGTTGGACGGTGGTCGCATATCCAGAATTGTCTTAACCTTTTCTGGGTTAGCCTCAATCTCTCTGCCGTTGACTATGAATCCCAAAAATTTCTCTGCTGAAACCCCAAAGGCGCACTTTGCAGGGTTGAGTTTCATCTTATATTCCTTAAGGGTTTGGAACGATTCTGCTAGGTGCTCGATGTGCAGCTCTGTTTTCAGTGATTTTACCAACATGTCATCAATATAGACCTCCATGGATGTCCCAATTTGCTTCTGGAACATTCTATTCACCAAGTGTTGATAGGTGGCTCCAACATTCTTCAATCCAAAAGGCATGACTTGATACCAATAAGTTCCCTGTTTGGTCACAAATGATGTCTTCTCCTGGTCTGCTGGGTCTATCCTAATCAGATTATAACCTGAGAAAGCATCCATGAAGCTGAGGAGCTCGTGTCCAGCAGTTGTATCCACGATCAAGTCGATTCGAGGTAAGAAAAAGCTGTTCTTAGGGCACGCTCGATTGAGATCAGTGAAATCAATGCAGAGCCACCATTTTCCATTGGTCTTCTTGACCAACATCACATTTGCCAATCAGGTAGGGTAGTCCACCTCTCTGATAGCTTTGGTGTGGAAGAGTTTACTGACCTCCTCGTTAATTTCCTTTTGGCGTTCGGGAACAAAATTTTTCCGCTTCTCTTTAACAGGTTTACAAATGGGATTCATGCTTAGCTTGTGTGTGATAACTGAGGGGTCAATGCCTTCCATGTCCTCTTGTTTCCAAACGAACACCCCCATGTTCTTCCTCAGGAACTGGATGAGTAAGTCTTTCATTTCTCTGCTAAACTTAGATCCTATGTAAACAATATGTTCAGGCTCTTCATCGAGCTGGACTGGCTCTAGCTCTTCTGACGGCACGAGCTTAGTGTCCAGCTTGTCCCTCATGTCAAGTTCATCTAGCTAGATGCTTTCAACCTCTTTATGCTTCATCGAGGTCATGTAGTACTCTCTGGCTATTCGCTGGTCTCCTCGAACCATTCCAACTCCATTTTCTGTAGGAAATTTTACGACCAAGTGATACGCTGAGGGGATAGTCTTCATTGCATTGAGGGATGGTCTCCCAAGTAGCATATTGTACGCAGAAGGGGCGTCAACCACCACAAACTTCACAATGGTGGTAGCTTGGCAAGGAAGGTCCCCCATAGTGAGCACGAGTTGGATGGATCCAAGGGGTAGTTCCCTCTCCCATGAGAATCCCATTATGTGAGCACTTACTAGCTCAAGCTTCTCCCTTCCTATGCCTATTTTGTCAAAGATAGAGGCAAAAATGATGTCAGCCGAGCTCCCGTTGTCAATTAGAACTTGATGAACCGTTTGGTTAGCCATAATGACCTTTACGACCAACGAGTCATCATGGGGATGCTGACAGCCTTCCAAGTCTAAATTCAAAAAAAGTGATGGTTGTGATCAACCGGGGTATTTTGGACATGGTGTGCACTTTCAGCGCTTCGCCAGCTTTGATCCTGCGCAAGTGTGCTTTCCTGGCTGCACTGGATTCTCCACTGCCAGCAAATCCTCCAGATATCACTCTGATCTCCCCTAAGGGTTGTTGGTGCTGAGCAGGGGCTTGTTGCTGAAGTGCCGATAGTGGTGGAGCCCTGTTCTGGTTGTCATAAGTGACAAATAGTTGTAACTGTCCCCTCTGGATCAAGAACTCGATCTCCTTCTTTAGCTGAATGCAATCATCAATGTGATGGCCATGATCCTTATGATACTCACAATATTTCGTTGGGTCTCTTTTAGCTAGATTTGCCTTCATTTGTGGAGGCCGCCTAAGGAACTTCTCGTTCTACACCTTGTATTGGATCTAAGACACTATTGCAGTGAGAGGGGTATATTGCTGAGGCGCATACCTCGGCTGTAGTTCAGGCTGTGGGGGTCCTAAGTGGTCCTTAACGTTCCCCTTTCTTTTTGGGGATTACTTTTTATCTCTTCTGGGAGATCTATTTCTCCTTGGAGATCTGTTTCTTTCCCTCTCTCTCCTGGGACTTCGGTTCCTTTTTTTCTCTTCATTTCCCTTATCTCTATGTGCGAAAGAGCTCCCTACCTTAGAAAGAAGAGCTTCTTCGCCGTTTATGTATTTCTCTACTTTGGCAAGCACCTTGGCCATGCTTACTTGGGTATTTTTTGATATGGAGAACATCAAATCTTTAGATTATACCCCTAGACCAGCTATGAAGGCAGTGATGGTGAACTTTTCGTCAGGGACATCCACCTTTAACGATTCTAAATTAAATCTTTGGACATAAGACCTGAGGTTTTCTTGAGGTCCCTGTTTCATATTCAAAAGATGATAGTTCGGCTTTCTATAGGTCCGCGCTCCTATGAAGTGGGATACGAAATAAATGGAAAGTTCTTTGAAGGAATAGATTGAGGCCGGGGGGAGCTTGTTAAACCACGCCAAGGCTGAACCCTTCAAGGTGATGGCAAAGGCTCGACAACATACGGGGTTCTGGTACCCGTGCAACTCCATTTGGTTCTTATAAGTATTCAGGTGGTCCACGGGGTCCCTGATTCCATCAAAGAACTCTATCTATGACATCTTGAACTTTGGTGGGAGGGAAAAATGCAACACCCCAGGTGTGAATGGAGATTCAGTCTGCTGCACCAAGGCGTCCATTGTAATTGGAGTTTTACTTCTGACCGCTTCCTTCATGTGGCTGAGCTCTTGTTGAATGCCCGTGAAGCGTTGCTCCCAATATTGTTCCCTTCTCTCCTGCTGATAAGAGAAGACATCATTCTTTTTACCTTCATGGTTTTGACTTTGTATTTCTTCATTGTGGCCATTCCTAGGAGGTAGTTGGGGAATTTGTCCTAAGATCTGGCTGTTTTCCCCTTCCTCATTGTCATCTCCGAGTGGATCTAGGTGTTGTTGATTCTTATGACGGGGACTGTTCTGATCTTTTTGGGCCGGACGTGCCTCTTGTGGGCGCTGTAAGAGCTTCAAAAACTCTTCGTTTTGCTTTATCAAGCGTTGATTGACAAAGCGAAGGGCCTCCATCTCTTTATTCATGGGGGAATTCCCCATGGGAGGATCAGTCTCTGTGACGTTCTCAGGTTGTCTGTCATTGGTGGCTCCCTGTTGGTCCTACATCCGGGGTGGGTTTGTTTAGCTTTTACTCATGTTTCGTGTTGATACCATCAGTTACTGAGAGATCAGATTATTTGTAACAGGAACATTCGTTCCTACAGAGGGCGCCAAACTGATGGTGTTGATTAATGTGGGTGAACAGAGTTCGTGGGACCAACGGTGAATTTAGGTTGCCAACTTCATAATGACAGTGGTGAAGTGTTGCATAGGGGATAAGAGAATTTGCCTAGTAGGAATATAGTGGTTCACCGGCTCTGGAGCTCGGCTAATCCACTATTTAATAGAGGCTACTGCTTCTCTTCTTTCGATTGACTACTTGAATGTATTACAATACAACGCATGATCTAATTAGGATTTTTTTTCTTCGGTCTTCCCCCCGATGAGGCGTTACATAATACTTATAAGGCTGTTCCCTATTCTGTGGGATTTCAGCTAAGATTTTTGCCCATTATTCATGGGATCCTCCATGATTTTAAGAGAGAATTTTGGTTGGTTGAAAGTTTCATGGATTGAGCTCAATTTTCGCAATTATTCAGCTGTTTCTTGGTTACTTCTGTCACGATCTCACCAAGGGGAGCTCTATCCGTAGTTCTCTGAGTTTCCAGTGTCTTTCCTGACTTTAGCTCATAGTTAGGGTTTGTTTGAGGTATCATCATGTTTAAATTTGATTTAAAAATATTTAACGAGTTTCAAATTTAAGTAATTACTTATAAAAATGAACCTATAGAATCATAAAATCATAACCCAAATTTTTTACCTTATTTTGATCGTATGGTCAAGTTTAGACGTTGAGAAAAATTTCGACCATTTGTTTTGTTCCTCTTCCGTTTTGCTCACCGAGCAGTGAGCTTCCAGTTATACCCAACCAAATTTCTTGGTGGCTCCCATGTTCTTCACGTGACCAACACCATTTAAGTCTAATGTGTCACTTAGCGCATTCAATGCACTAATGGACACTTGTCCACCATTTGATTGGTTGTTTTTTAACACCAAGACATTGTCACCGCCTGTATATGTTAACAATTTTCAAAGTGACACGTGTCACCTTATCCCTTGACCAATTGACACCCACACACACTTATTACAATCTATATTAATCAAGGGGGGTAAAGTGAAGTTTTTGCTAATTAAGTATAATAAAATGGATGTGGAAGACTCTAATCAGTGGGGCCGGCCTTTCTTTCACCAAGATCACAACGGCTACAAAAGAATCTCGAGCCCTTGCACACATTTCAAATTTCGAACACTCACACTCTCACTCTCACGCCCGCTCTCTGTGCAGAGACGAAGAACAGCATAACCATGGAGAACCTTCATCAGAGCTTAGATCCAGAGACGGAGTTTTTAGCCTCAAAACAAGGGACTGGTAATGAATGGGAACTATACAAAGAGAATGTGCGACCTTTGAAGAGAGGCAGAAACGTTTGTCTCCTCAACGACGCCCTCAGATCCCACACCCACAATAAGCTCAAGAAATCTATTCTTGAGAATCGAAGGTTGCCTTCCTCATCATCCCACTTTCTTTGCAATTTCCTACCCATATGTACAGTTTTTTCTCTAATTTATTTTGGGTATTATTCTTTTTTTTTTCCTTTTCGAATTTATCAGGCGGTTGATTGAATCGATTGATGAATATAAGGGCGATGATCCCCTCCAGCCATGGCTTGAGTGAGTTCTCAGTTTCTGCATTTTTTGTTCATTCTGCTTTGTTGCTCTTTAATTATTGGTTTTCCCATTTTATTTACTATCGGTAATTGGACACAGGATAGAAATAGGTCAGTAAAGAATATGTTCTTGCCAGAGCTCTTTCCCTTTAACACTCAATTTTTCATTCATATCTATTTTTACGCAAGATTTGCTTCGTTTTTATGTTTCTCCACTCTTGTGTCTGTATTACTGTGGAGAACGAGTCTAGGAAAGTGGCCTTTCCTGCACCTACTGCCTCGTTGCTGAGAACTGTGAGGAAAAGAGTAAAGAAATAAAATATAAAATTTTCAAAACTATGTATAATCTTATTTTCATCTCTTTACCTTCATTTTATTACAACACGAAATTCGTTAACCCCCCCCCCCCCCCGGGGGACTTATCTCCAAACTTAAGCAACAACTTCGGCCTAAAAGTCTTGTGACATGTTTTTTACCTTTCAACATACTACATGCCATGTTGTGAGCAACTCTAAACTCATCAGAAACTGGCAACCTTGGATCGTATGACTGCTAACTGAGAGCGCTTGGATACCCGAGGCCAGTTTTCTCTAAAAAGTCAAAACGATATGACTTATGATACTGGATTCTGGCAGAATGGGAATATACACCATAAACCTCCTTATTTAGCAATAGAATTTGCCTCCATTGCTGCAACAGCGGAACAAATCAACTCATTGGAAAATGTTACTCGATCTAATCAGGTGACTGAAAAAACATAGTAGCGAATCACTTTGTGAAGCTAACGTTTGTAATAGGCTCAGTTGGGTACATAATTTTGTTTTCTAGTTATCTCCAAATAAGGATTCACATTTTCGATATGGTTTATTCTCCCAGAAAATATTGAGTAGCGAAATGGGCAAAAGGTTTTGGATTTCAGAGATGATGTTGCTTGCTGATCTGTTCCATGGGATTGAATTAATTACCAAACAATGACACACCTTTTTTTTTTCTTTCTCTTTTTCTGTTTTCAAGGTGCATTAAATGGATTCAGGAGGCTTTCCCTCCTGGTGGAGACTGCTCGGGACTGGTCGTGATTTACGAACAATGTGTGCGGACTTTTTGGCATGAGGACCGTTATAAGAATGATCTCCGTTACCTGAAAGTGTGGTTGGAATATGTGAGTTCACTTCATTATAACCTTCTTTGTGCTTTAAGTACTGTGGCTCCTTATTTTGTTTTTCTGATGTCTATCTTTAGTCATACCTTTTTTTTATTCTTGTGTTCTATTATTGCTTTCAATCATTTTTACCCATTTGACATGGGTGTTGCAGGCTGAAAATTGTATTGACGCTGAAGTTATATATAGTTTTCTGGAAGCAAACAAAATTGGGCAGACACATTCGTCTTTCTACATATCATATGCTCTGCACATGGAATCAAGGCATAAGATTAAAACTGCAAATGATATATTTAATCGTGGGATGACTATGTAAGTTCCTGTTACATGTGATCCTCCATTTCATTTAGCCATCTTATTTAAAGGTTTCTTAGAGACTTGTCTTTGTTGATCTATTTGCTCTGAAGAGTCCTGTTCTGTAATATGTATAGATATAGAATCAGGGATGTCACAATGTTTTGTTAGTATGAAGGGAATGTGTTGGATATTACCTGTGAATTGAGACAAATGTTCTCCACAATGGCCTGTTGAGAAGATTTTGGTTCAGTTTTTCAAAATGGGAATTTCTCATTCAGTTATAATTTATTCTCTGTGTGGTGGTTTGGTGTCTATTTTAAAACTTGGATTTGTGTTGTTGCTTTTGGTCCTGCACTTCATTCTTCATAGTTTAGTGGGTAGAAGGTAATGTGTACTATTACGTTTTGCATGGAATCTTGCATGACTCTATTCTGTTTTTGACATTCTAATTCCTATGGATAAAAATTGCCACAAATTGTTTTTGGAAAAGTTGCTGAAAAATAATTGTGTAAAATTGTTTGCATATAAAGGATGTAGTCAGACTACCATTTTATGTTCTGTAATATAGAATTCAAGAACGACTTAAGGTGTGAAATATGTCACTTGTGGAAGATTGAGATCCCCTTTTTTCTGGAGGAGTTGTATTGCGCCCAAAAGCATCTCAATTACTGGAGCTCAATATTTTACCATTATCAGTTGTTATTAAATGACAAAAATGCATTCTTATTGAGGTTTCCATGTGCCAGGAATGCTCAGCCAATTGAGAAACTGAGAGCAGCCTACAAGAAATTTCTAGCGCACTCAATGAGAGGACCAAAAGCTACGGATGTATGCAATACAATGCAATGGACTTTAAATGTGTTTTTTTTTTGTTTCTTCGACTCATCATTCATATGCCCTTTCTTTCAATCTTCAGCAGGATTTAATGGAGAATCACTTACCAGCTCGAAGCTTTGGAACTGTCTTGGCCAGGGGAGAAGCTCGTATGTTTCTTTTGCTTCTTTCTGCCTTATGATATGTTACTTCTGATTTGCTGGCCAAAACTGTTCCTATTCCTGCAGGAAGCCAGACAACAAAGGGTTTTGATCTCGCTAGGGAAAATTTGAAACAAGACAGGTGAGTGCGTGGAGTTATTTTCTTAAAGTTCCTCTAGCCACCTTGCTTGCCTGGAAGCTATAGAGTTTTTATTGTTATTATGTCCGAGTGTAGAGTGTAGACAAGGGTGAGGTACCTAACATGTTCTATCCTCAACCTCCATCTGTCAATAGTAGTCTCAATTCACAGTTCCTATTCTCTTGTACACTGCACGCAACAACTAGCAGCCTCTTTACTATTAGGGGAAAACACTAGCACACTAGCTAGCTACGTAGAGCTCCTACTGAATGAACATGTTCTTTCCTCAACCTCCATCTGTCAGTAATAATGTCAATTCACATCTCCTATTCTCTTTTACACTGTGCGCTACAACTAGCAGCCCTTTTACTATTAGGGGAAAACACCATCATACTAGCTAGCTACTTAGAGCCCCTACTGAATTTATGCGATATTTGAAGAAGTGCAGCTTTGGAAACATATACAGGGGCTGCTTGCCCCTTGCCCCTGTCTCTAAAGGAGGTTATGCACTCCACTTGTTACCACTTCCCATTAAATGACGAAGCCAGGAGCAAAAGGAGGGATTCAGGCATTTTCTCGTATAATCTTGCTAAAGAAGGAGCCATTGTCGTCGTTATTGTTTAAAATTAGGTCTGCTTGTCTAGGATTCGATCTTGGAAATAGTACATCAAGGTCAAAAGTCGAAAGACTAAGCCTATTAGAGAAGCAAATTCAATGAAGCAACAACTGGTGCCATAAAGAAGCAAGACCCTGTTTGTGTCTGCATGTGTTTTTGTTTTTGGGTTTGGTGGGTGAAGGAATCCTAAATTCCTTCTTTCTATAAGTGATTGTTAAACTTAATTGAATTTAAAATCTGAAATACACATTTTTTAAAGCAGTTATGTTTTAAATTAGAGCAGCTACTTATCACATGAACTCACGATGAATTACAATTATAATGTTTTTTCGTACGCATCTGAAAAGATTTGTTTATATTAAAATAGCTGTGAATAATTACGCCCCCAATAAGATTGCAAAAACCAGTATGTCAGTGTTATTATTTAAGCTATTTGCTGTGACAATTATATCTTTTAGGGCCCATCGAACTCCACTCGCAATTTTCAAAGACATCAGCACCGATGTTACCTTAGGTCATCAATCAGAGTCGTCAAAGGCAGACTTGAAATCTTGGCACAGTCTTGGTGCTCGGGCAGAGAGAAATAAAGAGAATAATGCTTTACCTTCCAAGTGGACATCAAATAAGGTCAATTTTGAACTGCAAATCATGTAGATTTTACTACTTCCCTTGTCAATGTGGTTTCATCATCATATTCCAAGGCAGTATCTGACCCTTGAGCCACTTCTTTCAGATTCCACGCAGAAATGGGCATAGATTTGGAGAAGCAAATGGCAGTGCCTGCATTGAGGTCTTTGTGGACGAGGAATGCATAGAGTGAGTAATTGCATAATTAGTCCTTCTAGTTTGGCACTTGTTATACTCTTTGTATGTGAGGGAAGTCTGCATGCATGCATTAAATAATCTGTGATGAAGATCTGAAGCCAACTATATAATTTAGTGAAACCGAACTTGGGTTTCTTTGTTGAAGTGAATTCAGTTTTTTCCTGAATTTAATTAGGTCATTTTTCTGAATTTAATTTGGAATATGACCTTATGGATATTGGTTCATTTGTTTAGAATATTTGTTTTTGGTTTTAAAAGTGTCCTCAACTGGTCCTAGGCAAAAGATAAAGGTACATTTTTTTTTCTTTCAGCTTGTGGATCACAGGGTTTTGTAAGAGACTCATGGTTTTTTTTGGTGATTGGGGGAGTAGGGTCTTTCTTTTATCTTCTTTTTCCAGTGGCAGTGTGTTTATGTATTTTTTTTTTGGGGGGGGGGGGGGGGGGGGGGGTTAGTTGGTTGAGTGGTTATGGTGTCAGCAAAGACACAACAAATGAGCATGGACCTCTGGGCCATGGCAACTCTAATCAGATCAAAGTAAATTGCCAAACAGATTATGAGCGAATTCCTATGGATCCCCATGCCATACATGAGGACAATGCCGGAGTTAGCGAGTCAGTTGGTGCAAAAATTACCCTGCTGGTAAGAATGATAAAGCAGAAATAATGTTGGGAATGGGATCAAATCTCAGACACCTTGTCAAACCATAGTTAGAGAACTCTATAGGCTTGACTCTGCCATCATAGTCCTAAAGTCACTATTTTAAGTCATGAGAAATACTCGAAAGAGCGCCCCAAGCTCTGCGAAGTTACGTTGTGCTAAGAAGTATGGTTTTTTTTCCTTCTAAATTTCCTTTGATTTAGACCTCTTATTCTATCCACAGCATGCATATTATAGTACAAAAATGTTGTTGCCAAATTTCGTTATCGCTTTGGTCATTAATCGTCGAGTCTCTTATAGGGAACAACATAAAGTGGGAAATGAAGATGTAAAATCTTCGATTTTGCAGCTTAGACATGGGGATGGTAAAGACTTTAAAAGGTAAGCAATAATCATTAGCATATTTGGGTTCGGCAATACATTATTTGTTTTCATCTGTCCCAAGCATCCTTTGGTTTGTGTAGGGAAACAGAGTTATTGAGGGAAAATCCGTTACGCAATTTTCCCACAAGCTTTCTGCCTAGATGATCAAGAATGCTGCAGTATTAATACATATTTTCTGCCTAGATGATCAGCTTTGATGTTTAAAGCTTGATCCACATCATTTATATGTTAAACCTGTTAAATGCTTGGAAATATTTACTGACTTGGTTTCTTTCAGAAACCTTGATAGATTGTTGAGCAAGCACACTTGTGCTGTGTGTGAATTGATATCTCTGTGTTCATTGAAGCCATATTTGTGATCTTCTTGGTTTATTATTTAAAGTCGATTCCGTGTTTTATAGCCTTTTTGTCATGACTATTTTTTCTAGTTCTGCAAATTATAACACTCGCAGTGTTGTTGCTGCAGTCCGTACTGGTCCTTTCACTTGGGGTGGTGAGTGAGTTCCTTTTAGATGTATTTCTCTGATTTTGTGTGAACGAGAAAGGGAAGGAGGATATGTGATAGCATTTCATTGGAGCCATGATTTGTTGTCCATATGCAACTGGCCTCCTGCCGCCTTTCCAAGGGATCTCGGTCCATTCTCACGATCACTGGAAAGGAAATTAAAGGATTATATTTCTACCATACAAGAGAAAAATGCGTTTTTTTGTGCACCATGCCTAGAATAAAAAAATATGCCAAACAAATACCAAAAAATTATACAATATGTAGAAAAAAAATTTAAATCACTGACCCACCACGTCAATTCAATTATTCCTACATACTTCCTAACAAGATGATACTACATTACTGTTTTTTTTTTTTTTGTTTGTGAATGTTAGCTAATGAAGAACCCAATTAACCCATGTCATTTGGCTTTGGAATTTTTATTTTTTTTTTGGATAAATAAAAAAGGGATGGGGGCAAAACAGAGCGCTTAGAGATCATTCTAATAGGTTTTTATTGGTGGGATCATGAGGTCCTAGTTGTGTTCATTACTTCTCTTGAGAACAAACTTAATTAGACTAGTATAAAGGTCAATCACCGAATTTTAATACAATACAGATTTTAAGATTCAAACTTCCACTCTTAAAATGAAAAGTTCAACCGGCGCCCACTTGAACACCCTAACCGGTGGTAATTTGGAGTTTTCAATTGCATATGTATGGTAAAGGCTGTAACCCAAGAAAAATGATAAGAAGAAGAAACATGACAAAAAAGTAATATGTAACGGTCCTGGTCTGACCGTGTAAATAACTGGGCCGGATGGGGTGGGTGTTCAATGCAATAAGCGATGGCTTGATAGATAGAAAAGAAAACCAATATAAAACTGTGTAGGAGCCGATCAGCACCCATTCCTGTTTTCCTTTCCTTTTTCTTTTGTGGGGGCCGATCAGCACAGCAGTGAGTGCTAGTGTAGCTTTTCGATCAATCCCTGCAAAATTAGGGTTTTTTCATCTTCTATTCTAAAACATTGTAAACGTGACTCCTTTGTATTCTGTTCTTCTCTCTTCCCTTCCCAGATCACATCGCGCCCCAAATCCTTATAAATTTTCTCTTAATAAATTAATCATTCGCCACCCATCTACCTTCTGTCAGCATCAATGGCGGAGCACTTAGCTTCCATCTTCGGTACCGAGAAGGACCGCGTTAACTGCCCATTTTATTTCAAGATCGGCGCCTGTCGTCACGGCGATCGATGCTCTCGCCTCCACAATCGCCCTACCATCTCACCTACTCTTCTCCTCTCCAACATGTACCAGCGTCCCGACATGATCACCCCAGGCGTCGATGCTCAGGGTCAGCCCATCGACTCTCGCAAGATTCAGGAGCATTTTGAAGACTTCTACGAGGACATTTTCGAAGAACTCAGCAAGTTTGGCGAGATCGAGAACCTCAACATCTGCGATAACCTCGCCGACCACATGATCGGCAACGTCTACGTCCAATTCAAGGAGGAAGACCAGGCTGCCGCCGCTTTGCAGGCCTTGCAGGGCCGCTTCTACTCCGGCCGTCCAATTATTGCCGACTTTTCTCCTGTCACCGACTTCCGCGAAGCCACGTGCCGTCAATACGAGGAGAATAATTGCAACCGAGGGGGTTATTGTAATTTCATGCATGTCAAGCTCATCGGCAGAGATTTGAGGAGGAAGCTCTTTGGGAGGTCCCGCCGGTTTATGGGAAGTCGAAGCCGGAGCAGGAGTGTCAGCCCGCATTACGGGAGGGACTATGATAGGCGGGGCTATAGGGACCGCGAGGATAATCGTGGTGGCAGTGGGAGACGGAGCTCCGGGGAGAGGCATGGGAGGTACGACAGTGATAGCAGCGGATGGAGGAGACATGGGAGTCCAAGACGGAGCAGGAGTCCGGTAAGGGAAGGGAGTGAGGAGCGCCGAGCCAGGATTGAACAGTGGAACCGAGAGAGGGAGGAGAGGCCGTGATTAATAGGATTTGTCTGGTGATTATTCTGTGTCGTCCGATCCACATTGTAGCTATAGCTCTGGCACTTTTCTCTCACTGGTAATCATTCTAGGCCCGATGTTATGCTTATTATCCGTCATAGAAACTGAAGGATCTTCTGTATTTTCTTGTTATGAATGATGATGGATTTAGCTGATTCAATGTTCTAACTTTCTTTTGTGAGTTTTGCTAGAGTTTAGAACACGAGAGTAGTTTTTCTACGTGAGGTTAAAGGCTTCAAGTTGCTCGATACCAGCTTTGATGCTACATATTTGTGCCCTTTTGTTCTTTTGTCCCATCCTAGTATCTGGTGTGGTGTTGTATTCCATGACCTTTTTGCGATCAACTGTCACCCTGTTCATATCTGGTCCCATATCTATGAAAATAGGAGATCATGCACATCATTTACTCTTTAAGATCCCCCATTGGGATAAAATTTTATGTTTATTCGGCTAAGCTCATTGGACACCTACCTATTTGTTAGTTGTTTAAAGTTTTAAATTGAATGTTGGTTTGTGGTAGTCCACAGTTCACTTCAGAATGTTATGCATTGTTCTAAATATTAATTTGAATGGCTTTCTCAAGTAACTTGATATAATAGTGTTTACTTGCTGTGATGCAAATTCATCAGGGATCACATGTAATAATGATATTCTTCCAAGCAAAATTAATAGATGCCTGTGCAAGAAACAATTGTTTGCTGTTTGCATTTACAATGCTGTCTTTCCTACTAGAAATAGGCTCTAACTTTAACCTATTTAACTCCTCCCCACCCCTTTTCAAAAATCTACACCCCCAACTCCTTAATATTTCTAGGATAGATGAGTGTTAGATTGTTGGTTAATTAGTAGTCTAGTACCCTTTTTAGTCACGTTCTCTTCCATTTTTATACGTAATGTGCACGAGGGGTATGCTCATTATGTGCACACATTTTTTGTTTTTTTTTTTTTTTTTGGGGGGGGGGGGGAGAATAGTTTTTCAGCTTCCACTTATGTATTGTCATTACTCCTGGCCTACATCTAGTCATATATGGCATAAAGATTCTCCTGTAATCTTCAGCAATTACTAAAATCAGGAAATGTAAATATGGTTTTAAAAAATATTCAATGGGACTGATTATTCTATAGATCTCAATACATGGTGGGCCCACTTTGCTCATCAAATATCATGCTCATAGTTGTGGCAGAGATAACCATTGAGGACTTTTGAATTACTTATGTGACATGTACAATTTTAACCATGCAGCTCGCTTCTAGGTGTGATGTGTCCACATTCCAGTTGCCTTTAATAAGGATTTAATTTGGGTAACCCTCGGCTCGAGGCATTAACTGCAAGTGGATATAGTCCTCTGCTTCTAAGTGCCCTTCTAGGCTTCACTTTCTTAGTATGGAGTTAAACATGGTTGTGTTTATCAAGAGCTAGTACTGTGTTATGTTACCTGAGGAATTATTAGTAATGCAAGAGGGGCTGTAATTTTCCTTTCTGTTGTTATCTGAATGGAGAGGAAAATGTGAATCAATCTCTATTTTATGATTGACTATTAAAAGAAATGGGTTGAATGTAACTCTACGAGTACATATCAGTTTGACAGTTAAGCAGCACAATTTACTGGTTCAAACCCTACAAAACATTTCTAGACACTCATGTCCTAAATGAGTCTATTACCTCTGATCGTCCTTTGAATAGGTTGTCTTCATCGTGGACTTTCTTTCTTTACTACTTTTTTAGTTGGTGATCAATATAATTTCATTTTTTATTGTCTTTTACCAGCTTTCTTGTTTATAGGTGGTTGAGGCCATCAAGTTAGACTTACTGTCAAACTCCTTTGCATTTGTGTGGCATTCGGGGTTTAGGAATTATTTATACAATATGTGATCTGTTTCACTCTTTTTATTACCGCCGATATTCAAAAGGGAGTTTTACATAGTCTGTGTACTTATGTTGAATTTATAAGCATATCTGTCTGAAACATGATGACCTGAGCTAGACCCAATACAGTTGAGTGGATATAATGTTGTCGAAGACTTCTCTAAAGATTTACCCGAAAAAGGAAAGATTTATCTGAAGCTAGTTATCTAATGGATAAGTGTTGTGGTATAAAAGTAAATTGTATGAAGAATAATGGGTTTATGGATGAGAAGGTATAAAACTAGATTATAGGAAGAAAAAAGGGTTTATGGATGAGAAACTTATAACATTTGTATGCATTACGCACCATGGTTACGCGGTATTGTCCAAGTGATTGACATGCTTCACTTAGGGTGCATTGCTGGCATTCGAAGCTATGAGATACAGATCCCTCATTGGATTGAAACCATCGAAAGTGTAAATAATGGGTTATTCTCTTTATGCTAAATTGCATAGTCAAAATTTTTTCTAGCTTTGTGAATTTTCTTATTGGAGATAAACTGGTTAGTATTCCTAAGAGTAATTGTAATTTTGGTCTTTCATAACACTAGCTGTTGGTTCAAGTGGTATCTCTTGCACCCTTGTGTGGATTAAGGTGCATTGTCCTAGCCCCGATAGTGATTTGGGGAGAGGCTTAGGTGTTCTTGCTGTTGACCAGAAAGTTGTATGGTCTTTCATTTGCAGAAGTACATCAGTGGTTGTTTAAGGGCCGTTATTGACAGTTTGTGATGCATGTGCATAGAGAAAAGCTTAGTTAAATGATCTTGTAATGCGGCTGTGGGGTCAGCCAGGATTTGGATCATGGAATGGAGGCCCCCGGGGGGGGGGGGAGAGATTATTGATGAGAAATGATTAAATGTATGATAGAAATGAGTGGTGTGATATTTTTAGGAAGGAAATATATAAATGATTAAATATGTGATAGAAATGAGTGATGTGATTTGACGTTTGAGTCAGACAAAGGGATGATGAGTGAGGTAAGTGATTGGTGATGGTTTTGAGGGGGAAAATATGACTGGGATAAAATTCAAACACACTCCTGTTTTATTATATAGATGTAGATGTGTTAGGTGGTTTTTTTTATTTTTTATTTGGGCCCTGCCCTCGGGGGGGATTGGTAATAGTTCAAAAGATTTCAGAGTTTAAGTGGACAAAATGCAATCTTGAAAATTCAGGGGGCTACAGGCCCTCTTATTAGTGTAGGCATAGCTTCTCCCCTGGCAGAAAGGATGTCATTTTACTAATTCTTTCAACTAGCCTCAACTGCAAAGTGGAATACTTGAATTGTTTGTGTATCTATTGCTGATGTATGCAGAGACATGATCAGCGAAGAAGATATATGATCAGAGCCACACCGGGTAAACCAATCTCTTATGAGTCTATGACTGCCCTGATTTGAGGTTTTTCATAATTTTTTTTTCACGATGTCCAGTTTATAACCTATGAATTCCTTACATAGGCAGTCCTCGTCCTTGATCTTTGGAGGAGTGCATGCCATGCTTATTCAAGTCAATTGCATGCAGGTGAAATCATCTGTTGGCCTTTTGCTTTTTTTGTTTTTTGTTTTTTTTTAGTTTCTGGTCTCTGTAGAGGCGCTTGTATCAGGCTTGGTTACTAGATAATAGATTTGTTTTCCTGCGAACTTGCCGTTTCATTTTCAGTTATATACAGCGCCCCTACAGCCCCTGGTTGAATGGCATAGATAATGTGATTAGTTTGGTGGTATCGAACCTTAGGGTCTTGAGTTCTACAGCTGTTTGTGGCAAGCTGAACTTGAAGCTAGTGGGGAGCTTAGGATAGCGTGTGAAGAATGTTATGTTTTATTATTTTATTTGTGGGGCTTGCTTTCTTTCTGTCTGTTTTTTTGGGGGTGATGGGGCTGGGGTGTTGGCTGTGTAACAGTAGAAGGTGTTGTTTTGTGATGCATTTGTTTGTTTTTTTGATGTAGGGGAGATAGGCAGAATGACCAGGTAGGTAACAGCACTCTATGGTAAGTGCTCAACCGTATTCTATCATGAAGATTTGCTGTGTAGGGTTGAAGGCTGATGCCAAAGTTACCAACGGAGAACATGTTTCTCCGCACACAACGTATGGAAAGACAGGTGGTCGTCGTTCAGAATGAAAAGAGTAAAAGGACAACTGAGTCCAATTTTGTCATTCTAAAGTCAACGAAGCTGTTTTTCTTTATTAAAAAATAAAAAATAAAATTTTACTTCGGGGTTCTTAATGGGTGCTCAGGAGGAGTTCTTACTTGGGCAGAAAAGAGAGACGATTTTAGAGGTGAGGTTATCCACTTGAAATTTGGGACGGGGCATTAAAAAAGTAGTAGTAGAAAAAGATGAAGAATGGATTGGATGTGTAAAGGAAGAAATTGACAAAATGTGGTGGTTTTTAGTATCATTTCTGTTTGTTGCTAAAAACAAGGGTGGTGAGATTTTATTTTAATTATGACTTGGACATTTTGAGAAGTGGCACAAGCTTATCATATTTGCAGAAAATTTAACAAAATTGATCGGCGGTGATGGGATATTTTCAAGTACTTCAAGATGATGACACGTGTCTTCGGCATCAGTAAATTCTTGTTACTATAATCACGACACGTACCCGTCGGATCACAAGTCCTTGTTCTCCTGAGGTACTGTTCATAGGGATTAATGACATCAAGTACGTTTTACGTATCGACACGTATCCCTCGGGTCGGATATGGGTACATCGGTACTGAGATGTACCCGTTCATGTATCCCTCGGTACCGAGATGTATCCGTCCAAGATGGCGTTCTCTGTTCCTGCAGAGGCTATTGATGTACAGGTCACTAGCCTAGGCTAGGTTAGGTTAGCTATCATGATCTCGTCTTACACAATTGGTGTCAGAAGACACAAGAAGGCAGAAGACACAGTCAATGTGGAATGGACGCGTGACATATTGTGTCACATCAGAGACAAAAAGACCAGATGCCCTTGCTGACTCACTTGGGAAAGCAAGTATTTAATTACACCATTCCCTTGATGAGACATGAGACAACATTTAATGCGGTAAGGCTCAGAAGTGAAAGGTAATAAATGTCTCTAAGACTGGGTATTTATTACATCTTTGCCGAGAGGAGTTCATTAAACAGTCGGCAGGCCAATGATGCAGCTTTGGTTACTCGGGATCCTGAGCAGTTAAAAGAGAAGACATCCCTCATAGGAATCAGTGCGCACATTGCCCATATCTAATGATCACCAACTGACCACACTGACAGCAATCATGAGTTTTTGAGGTATAAATACTCCTCACAAAAGGCAAGATGGTATGCAACGAAAAACCTTTTCTCAAACCTATACTCAGTGTTTTCTTCTTCACCTCTCTCAAAAATTGACTTGATCGTCGAAGGGGATACGTCGAAAAACACTCTGACGCCCTTCTAACTTGTCTTTCTCTGTTCCAAGAACCTCCTTCAGCCTTATTGGACCGCTCCCTTGATCCACAAAAATCACTCATTACTGTTTCAGGCCACTAGCGGATTTCAGTCTGTTNGTATAAGATTTGTGTTGTCATGTCTTACAGTGTGTTAACCAGGGCTTTTGTTCACTCTAAATTCTGACTTGACGGATGGCTTGTGGCTTAAAGGCCAAAACAGAAAACTTGGGGAAGACCTGTGGACGAGCTCTGCATTGACTTCAGAATTTTGGCCATCAGATATCAGCGTCGGAGATGATACCCCAACAGAATGGTGGAGACAGCTTCAGTATAACACTATGATACCCAAAAAAACAATTAATTTGATACCATACCCCACCCTAAATATCTCTCGACTGTAGACATTTAGTGCACCATACCCCACCCTGAAAGGAGCTTCAGCAGAAATGAATCCAGTTTTCTTGGTGCAACTGTTCCATATTACCCAAAAATAAATGCTTGAGGTGCCATACAAATTATCAATATTGATTCAAGAACAGCATTATGATCATCTAAAATGTGCTCAAACAGTGCCTATCGGGGTGGTTGGGGCAGGGGAGAATCAGATTGATGATCTCCTCTACAGGTAAGTGAAAAATTTCAGCAGCTCCATTTCATTAGGACCATGGATCAGTCCAAATTCAGAAAGATTAGCCCTCCAATAATGAACATGAGTTGGAGAAGCAGAACACTTAACAAACACATTGTTTCCAGAGTCAGATGATAATTAGATGAGCCAAAAACATATCAGCATCTCATGCACGCACCGACAGAGACACACAAACACAAACACACACGACTCCATTTTCAGATAAGCCAGATGCAGCCTGCTGTCGACAACATCAAGCAAACAGTTTTGACCCTGATTCTCATGCTTGTACTCTTCACAAACAGCACTGTGGTGAGAACGGAGAATTATCTATCTTATGAAAATAACACAGAACAACAGAGTTAACATCAAACAACTAAACTTTAGATTATAATTGCTGGCCATAATGCAATGGAAGGAACCAACTCTGTTGGAACTCTCAGAAGCAAACATATACAGACATACACCAACTATGATATGGCTCAGAATAAGCTTACAACAACACACCTTCATTGGAAGTTTCATATTCATTGCTGGATACCCACAGTTTCCTGGATAAAGTTGTCCCCATTATTGAAGCAGAGAAAAGTAAGATCATTTTGCTCGAATATAGTTTATCCCTTACGCTGAAAAATAACAAAATTGGAGACAGTACAAGTGCTAAGAGAATAAAAAACTGATCAAAGTAGCAAGAACTGAAATAATAAAAGAGAACATATAAATAAGTGAGAGAACGTTATGTCTGAAGCTGGTAATAGGCAAACAACTGCATGAACCTGCATGTACATAGCAATCACTTTGACAATCCAAACCACAAAAAACACAAACCTTTTTTCATCGTGGCCTAACAGAAAGAAATAGGAAATAAATTACACATATAAATAGTTGCAGAAACAATGGCATCTCCAAAGACATTTTCTTCTCCTCGTGTATGATTAGCAGCAGATAACATTAACCCATCTAAGGAACAGACGGAGTTGTTGGCATGGAGGAGGAAGATGACGGAGGAGTTTCTCTTTGAAGCTCCTTAACTACAGCAGCCAGTGACTCAGGGTTCAGACCCAGATCGCAGAGAGCAATAAGAACAGAGAGCGTGTGACGATCAAGCCCGGTCTCAAGAATGTTTGACATATGAAATAACAGGTCCAGAGATTCCCGGGCAGTTCGTGCAGCCTCTGGATCCATATCGAGACTATAAATGACCTTTATTTCAAAATGATTGTACTCAAATAGACTAAAATTGTAAGATGAAACCTGAAAATGGAAATAAGCACTATAATATATCGCTCACCAAATTTCCACAGATGGAAAAAATGACAATAAGCAAGCATATGTATGCATTAATGAATGGGATAGTTATTAGTTAACTCCCCCCCCCCCCTCCTCCTCCTCCTCTTGAGGATGCCATAGTGGAGTTGGCCCTTAGTCTTAAGTTTAGGGCAGCTACATACATTTTTCCCAGTTATGCCAGAGTCTATTGCAGTCGTGTTGGAGATTCTTTTTTTTTTTTTTTTTGAAAAACAAAAAAGATTATTTGGTTATCATCAAATGATTTTGGTCAGCTTCTTTGGGTTTTGACCAAGCCTGTGGTGCTTGTCTCCCTTTCATTCATTTTGATAATGTCCACGTTGGATTTTTTGGGAAATGATTACCTAGACAATTTGGCAGACTCGTCTGCAGTTGGGTTCCTTCCACTTCCCTTTTCTCAAAAGAAAAGGAAACCAAAGGCTTCGGGATTATGGATAGTAAGAGAAAGATGTAGTAGTTGTAGTTTTGTTTTTCTGAAATAGTCCTTGGAAATAACTAGCTCTCTAAAAGCCTCCCCTCTTCTCTATCGATTTATTGAGGTACATGTGCGTGCAGTATCTTGCACAATATAAATACGAGAACAGATCTCTCCCGTGATGAACTCGAGTTAGTCAATCAAATGATCAATCTTGCTATTTGGAATGGGCTGAGATCCGTTGGTGGCCTGGAACGATAATAGGTGATTTTCGTGGATCAAGGGAGTGGTTCAGTAAAGCTGAGGGAAGGTTCTTGGAATAGAGAAAGACAAGTTAGAAGGGCGTCGAAGTGTTTTTCGGCGTATCTCCTCCGACGATCAAGTCAATTTCTGAGAGAGGGGAAGGAAAAAACACTGAGTATAGGTTTGAGAAAAGGTTTTTCGTTGCCTCACGTCTTGCCTTTTGTAAAGAGTATTTATATTTCAAAAACTCATGATTGCTGTCAGTGTGGTCAGTTGGTGATCATTAGATACGGGCAACGTGCGCACTGATTCCTATGAGAAATGTCTTCTCTTTTAACTGCTCGGGATCCCGAGCAACCAAGGCTGCGTCATCGGCTTGCCGACTGTTTAATGAGCTCCTCTCGGCAAGGATGTAATAAATGTCCAACCTTAGAGACATTTATTACCTTTCACTTCCGAGTCTTACCGCATTAAATGCTGTCTCATCAAGGGAATGATGTAATTAAATGCTTGCTTTCCCAAGTCGTGTGTCAGCAAGGGTATTCAGTCTTTTTGTCTCTGATGTGACACAATATGCCACGCGCTTATTCCCCATTGGCTGTGTCTTCTGCCTTCTCGTGCCTTCTAACATCAATTGTATAAGACAAGGTCATGATGACTAACCTAGCCTAGCCTAGGCTAGTGACCTGTACATCAATAGCCTCTGCAGGAGCAGAGAACGTCATTCTGGACGGGTACATCTCGGTACCGAAGGGAGTGGTACATGTAGGGACCGATGTACCCATATCCGACGGAGAGATACGTATCGGTACGTAACGTACTGGGTGTCATTGATCTCTATGAACAGTACCTCGGGGGAACAGGGACTTGTGATCCGACGGGTACGTGTCGTGATTATAATAATAAAAATTTACTGATGCCGTGGACACGTATCTTCATTTTAGAATATTTGAAAATATCCCATCAGTACACTTTTTTTTTTTTTTTTT